TCGATGTTGAATGCGCCAGGAAGCTCAAGGAACACTGGCCACAGACGCAATGCCTCGCAGAAGGCTCTAGCCCAGAGAGATTTCATTCAATGTTGCTTCGGGGAAGTGTGGAGCTCCATCAAGCTCTTCTGGACCGGATGACGTCGCTCCTCCTTCCAGGTGCTGTGGTGATGTGGGCTGTTGAAGTGGACGGGAAAGAGGTAGTGCCCGAAGCGGAGTTCGCCAGAACGGTTGCGAGCATCCGGCAGTCCCGCCTGCAGCCTCTGGAGCAGCTAACGCTGGAGCCCTACTTCGAGAGGTCAGCCATGATCGTTGCCACCACGGGCTGAATCTGGCCAGAGGCCTGATGGCTCAGAGCTCATGCTGAGACATGCAAAAAGAAAGGATCTTATTTCGGGCCTTTGGGCGATGGAAGCCTGTGCCTCAGGTTGTGCAGGCGCAGCAGGCCCGGGGCTGTGCAATCACGCGCATCGGCCTCCCCAAAGGCACAAAGGTGCCGCCTGAGTCGCCCCGGCAGATCCCATTCAGAATCGAACTTAGAAGCTTTGCCACCCTGTCGTTCATTGAGACGGTTGTGGTATGTTGTGCTCGAAGGAGTTGCGTCAGGCCACTGCCTTCAAGACCTGATCGGTAGATTGACGCTGGCGGGAACGATTTGCCAGACTTGGCGCTCCTTGTGATGAGACTCATGAGATTTTGTTTCTGAGCCTGATACGAGGCCCTTACAGCTGCGGCCAGATACTCGGTGAGAGGAAAGGTGAGCACAGCTTGTAGTTCCTGGCGCCCAGCAGGATCTACGTCTGAAAGATGTGATGCCGGTCTTCCCTGCCCCTCAGGGCTTCATATCTGACGCTTTATAACGGTACAGCACTTCAAAGCCGCGCTCATATCCTTCTCAAACTTCGATCTTTTCGCTAGCATAGAGCTGAACACTGGAGAAGTCCCAGCTTGTCGCTGTTGGAATCTGGTCCGAAACCCAAGCCATGGGATGATATAATATTTTCTAACATGGTGTGGTATTTTTTTAACTATACCATAATAGAGGGGCCGTAGTAATATCAAGGTGGAGGGAATCCTCCGTTCCCTCGAAGATGTCGCCCCGGAGGACCCGAGCCAAGCATTCTGTCGCCCTGCGATGTAAAGGTTTCCAAGCTCGTGGCAACATCTGCTTACTGTGCTCCTGTGCGAGTTCTAGACAGCTTCCGTAGGCTTGGATGCATCTTTGTTACTTTTCTGGGGCAAGGGGTGCTGGCTAAGCTGAGAGAATCTGCCTCTATTGATTGCTTCGTGATATGAGTAAGGATTGCATTCTGGTCCTTAGTTGTTTGCAATCAGCATGGTTGCGTTCTTGAGTATTGCAATGACATGCACCTCAAGGTCCAACGGGTGCATTTCTTTGTCAAGTTCCTTCTGCAGGATCCACCTTTGGCAGAACGTGCCTGGACAGCACTGACATGCGCAAGCTTGTTGACAGGATGCCGGAAGGGAGTCTACCCCTCACTGCGTAGGCTTTGCACGACATGTCGCTGCATGCCTTAGGTGTTGTTGGCGGTTACTAGTGCGAATCTAGTTGCAGGTCTCTGGCAGTGGAACCCTCACCTCTCGCATTTATCTTATACGAGATCTTGTTTGCGTTTGACTTCCTGTACTGCCTGGCTGTCTCAAGAAACCTGTCAAGTGTCGTCGCGCGAGGTGCCTCGAGGCCCTGCCCACTTTGTTTGACCGCCATGGGTCCTCAAGACTCAAGTCGTCTCGAGGGCCGAACTTCTAACAAGGGCAGGTCGCGGAAACAATGCAGATCATGATAATGTCGTGTTTGTCGCGTGTATCTTCGGCTGATCCAGATTTTAGCTTACATCATGGGCGGCATAACTGACCGCGGTTTGCGGCTAATGGTTTATGCCACATTCAGCTGTTGTGCTGCCTGTGATGTGTGGTCAGCACAGCTCGACATGCCTAGGGCGTTTTCCCATCCTTTGTGCCCCATGCTGCCATGGTTCTCCTCACCTCGGGACGATGGGAGCTCAGGCCGGATCAGTAACAGCAGCACGTTGCTTAAGGCTTGGCGGATCCGTTATTTGCGCAAACGCAGTTAGAGCCAAGCATCGCTCCTACACCAGAAATCAGGGGAGAATTGCAGGAAATGTGAGGTGGAAGATATGTCGAGGGTACGCTGGGCACTGAAGACTTCATACATTCTATGGCAGACTCAGCATTATCTTGCAGCATTGCATAACGTTTTGAAGTCACGATCTGGGCAGGTGTGTGTGCAGCTAAACCGCATGCTGGAGCATCATGTATCTGTATTCCAAGAATCACTTCTTCGCTGACAGCATCCTGGGTCGCATGTGCCGGGTTCAAAGTCTTCTAATCCGGATCTGGAATCGGAACCGCCTGTCAGCAGCACGGCAAGATCAAATACCAGCCTCCCAGCCCAAACTTGATTTTTTGGGAAGTTGGTAACGAAGAAATCGCAAAAATAACGTCATAGCATAGCACAGGAAGGACAAGCGCATAACAGTATTAGTAAGCCTGGCAAGAAAGAGTGCAAATAACAGGCAGCTTCGGTCTGCTGCCACGTGGAGCGCCTCCCGCGGCAGCAGCTAAGTGCCCGGATCCCAGGTCATTTTATGTTTTTAATATATATATATATTAATATACATATTACGTATATATATATATATATTTATTTATTTATGGCTTGACTACCAGAACCATTCGCCCACCATCACGACGAATCTAACCACGACCACGACCACGCAGAGACGACGACACGGCTGCTACCAGTACCGCTACCGCTACCACAACCACTGCTGCTACTGCTGCCGGTGCCGCTACCACTACTACCGCTCCTACCACTACTACCACTCCTACCACTACTACCACTACTACCACGACCACTACGACCACCATATCCTGCTTCCACTACTACTACGACCACTACGACCACCGTATCCTGCTTCCACTACTACCCCTACTACAGCTACCGCTACCACCGCCGATGCGGCTGCCACTACTACTGAAGTACGACGGCGACAAGGACGACGACGGCTACCGCTACCTACCACTATACCACTACCACTACTAATACCACTTCTTCACTGCCACTGCCATTGCCCAGGTTGCGGCTGCCCCTGCCTCGGGCCCTCGGCCGGGAGTCCAGCAGACAGAGGTTGGCCCTTGAGTTCGTCCACCTTCGCTCCTCCTTGAGGAATGTGAGGATTTGTGCTCTTACATGGCGTTTGGCATGTGGTTGAGCTTTGCAGGCGGGTTGGCATTTGTTTTCAAGGAGCTTGATCCCACCCACGCAGAGTATCACTGTATAACCTGTGCAGAATGTCGGACTTGACTTGTGCATGACGGAGATCTGTTCCTGTCGCAGCTTCTTTGATGAAGGCCCAGGTAAAGTAGCTGAAGAAGGCAATGGAGGTCCTGGTGGCCCCTGCCCGGCTTTGGGCCCGCTCGGCAGCAAGGGCTGAGCAAGCCTTCAGTCGTGGCTTTCATTATGTAGGCAAGCTGTGTGCAAGACATCCGTTGAAATGCCTCTTCGTATCCATCTTATTCTGCCTGGCGTTTGGCGCCGGATTTACTCAGTTTGATAATGAGAGTGGGAGTCGAGCTCTGTGGGTGGACCAACACTCACAGCAGATGAAGAATCTCGAGCCACTTGGACTCGATCCCTTAGTGTTCTTTTGATTCGCTTCCTTTACATGCTTCACATATCGGCTTTGCGACAAGGCAGAGGTTTTGCGGTTTCACATGTTTCACCTTCAGCAGCAGGTCTGTCGAAAATCTCTTTTCAAACCCCGTTGGCAGCGAGGGTGGAGGCGAACGGCTTATTGTAACTGCGAAGTATGGTGGCAATATTTTGGACTATGACACATTCCTCGATGTCTGGAGGGTTGTTGATGACGTCCGTACTTTGGAGTTCAAGGGAGACGATGGTGCGCAAGAGAGCTATCCTTTCGTTTGTCACAGGGGAGGCAACGGCAACTGCATTATTGACGGCGTGCCGCGATACTTTGCAACGCGGCCGCTTACACAAGAAGACATCCTGCGTGCCGTAAACCAGCCACAGTTTGCGGATGGCATGCATCTTGGCGTTAGCATCTTCTTTGAATCGTGTCGAATGTCTAACTTGGTCATTAAGGCATAGAGTCCATAGAGGGCAGGGCAGGCGAAGGATTTCAGGTTCTTCAGCCCTTTTGTGTGGTTGGGCCCTGTGCATGGGCCATGCCAAGGCCGACCTATGCCGAGGACAGCTTGGGAGGCAATTGCGAAGGGAGTGCTGGGAGCAATTTGAGTGGAAGCTAAAAGAGGGCGACCGACGGGGTCAATTGTTGACGCGGCGATGTCGAAGCAGGGGTGAGCCTGATGAGCCTGAGATAGCTTGTCCTACAGCTGCTACACTGCTGCACTCCCACTCCTGAGTTTGCACCTGACATGCCGCCAGGCATCCAAAAGGATAGCAACGGCCAGATCGTGGGAGCTTCTGCGGTCCGAGTCATCTTCTATGCCTGGTGGTCCGACGGATTTCGTCAGGTGGGATTGGACACATGTTGGCCTGTGTTGTTTTTCAAGAGGGGTGTTTCTGGCATGGCATTGGGCATCATCTCGCATGCGCGAAGTGAGGGAGAGGTTCCTCTGGAAACACCCCCGTGAAAGGCGTGGATGGATCACTTCGTGGAGAACTTCAAAACGAAGCAGAAATACGAACGGGTTAACGTTTTTCTGCAGTCCGAAAATTCCTTCGATGACGAACTCAATCGCACTGTAAGTGCAGATATCCCGCTCCCTGGACTGCAGAGTGTGAGGCTCCGGTGAAGAGGGATTTCCATTTGAGGAAGTGGAGGTTTCTCGTAGCTCATACCCACTTGCTCCCTGGCCTCCAGACTAGGCCGTCTTGCCTCAGGCTCCAAGGGTCAGGAGCTCGAGGCGTTGAGCGCTTTTGGTCGTGGTTTCGGGTTTCGGGTTTAGGGTTCAGGGTTTTTTTTTCAGATGCACAGCTTAAAACTCTGACTAAGGCTGTTCGCCTCGGCCTTTGTGCTGATGCGACTTGGCTTGTACGAGCAGTCTTTCCAGTCTTCTCCTGCGGAAGCGCACATTCAGCACGTATGGAAAAACTTCAGCTCCGTTCAGATTTCAAAGTCTGCAGGGCAACTCCTGAATATGGTTGCCATTCACAGCATACAGCTTCCAATACTACTAGATCCGATCTATGTCGGAGCTGCAGAGGTAACTCGTCAGCTAAGCACATGGAATGAGAGCCTAACGTCCAAAGGTCTACTTTCTGTGCTGTTTTCATTGGGAAGCCATGCAGCTGGACGGCGAGCAGACGTCTATTGGGACGCTTGGGTGGCATATGGGGCGACACTCCGGGTCCGGGTCGAGCCTAGAAGGACGTGGGAGGGCTTGGCGCTTGGTAGTGGATGAAGAATCTAAGTAAAAAAGAAGGGTAACGGCTATGGGGCACAGCACAACTCTGCCGAATGAAGAGCAGCACACTCAGACACAAGGGTCTCGACAGCCCACAACCCTGATACCTAAAGTAGTTTGAATAGTCAGGGTTGTTTTTTGTTTTTGCATTCCAAGTTTCATCAGGTGTGTCCGACGTCTTCCTCGTGCTTGTAGCCTGCGTCGGCGGCTTCGGAAGTACCCTGTTTCTTGGTGTACCGTTCACCGTCCTGACGCAGATTCTGCCCTTCATCTTGGTGGGCATTGGTATCGATGATGCCTTTGTTATTGTCAATGCCTTTGATAAAACGGACGCCTCTTTGGACATTCCTGAGCGTGTCGGGCAAGCAATGGGGCGAGTGGGTGTGTCTATTACCCTCACATCGCTCACGGACATCGTTGCGTTTCTTCTTGGAGCCACTTGTGTCTTCCCGGCGGCTGCTCGGTTGAGTTGCTGAAAATGTAGATTCAGTGAATCTCAGTCTGTTCGAGTAAACATCCAATTCTCAACCAAGATACAGTTCTTCTGCTACTATGCGGCTGTCTCTTGCTGTTTCGTCTGGCTGGTGCACTGCACTGCCTTCTGTGCCATGCTGTCTCTGGACGCTGCGCGCGCCAAGAGGCAGCTCCTGGATCCGCTTGCAGCTTTTCTGACAACATCGTAAGAGTCATAAATCTGCAAGTTTTGTTTACTGCAACCTCTGCTAAGCTCCGTTACATCTGGTGCACAGCCCAAAAAACTTTAAGACCGCCAAGGGCACATGCCCAGACGGCACTCACCAAACATCTGCAAAGGGTCCTATGAAGATCTCTGCAGGCCTTTCACGTAGAAACTTCCTGCCGCGGCTCCAGCCTGAATTCCCTCACGTGAAATGCAGCCAGGGCCGTGCTGTTGTACAGCGGCGTGTGCTGGTTCGGAAGTTGCAGCTTTACAGTAGCAGTTAAAGTTTAAATGATCTTGATCGCCGAGTTAGCCAGCGACTGCTAAGCTACCTTGCCGCTGAGTTCTGTGTGCCGGCAACGTCCTCCTGCCTTCCAGCCGAGCCGACGGACTCCGCGAAGACGGTGACACTCCTTTCAAGGCACGGGGAAAGACCTCAGTCATCATCCCGACATACGCACCTACTTCCAAGCCATCAAGGATTTGCCAAGAACAAGAACGTCAGCTGTAATAAAGTAGGTCATGGAACATGCGTGTTAGGTCTGGTTGAAAGGCAAAGCGAGCTGCCTAGCGGAGTCCTCGAACCGAGTGAAACATTCAGATAATATCTGGCAAATACTTCAAAACAGACTCCTGCGAGAATGGAGGTTGCTGGATGTTTTGGGGGTGGGGGGAGGCACTTGAAAGGTATGCGAAACTTGCTTGCCGAGATATCATGCTTATCCGTAGCGCGCCGGGCAAGCATCTTCAGCATGGGTGAAGTTTGTTCATACCGAATCCGAAACTGCTCGCCATTGCTATCACATTGTCGTTTCGTGGTAGTCACGATGCTTTCCGTTTTTTCGACAGACATGTTGAATCCATGCCTTGACTTTAGAAAGGGCTGAGAAACGATGGCTTCGCGGAGCCGTTCGGAGCCCACTGTGTTTATCAAGTCTACAGAGTGATGCGAAATTCATTCAGGATTCTGGGGCGCATTGTCCGCTTCTGTGCATCTTGGTTGCATTTCAGCCTGGAGAGCTCCTTGAACTGTTCCAATACAAAGCGGAGCAGCCAGGTCCGTTCTACATTATCCAAGTTTCTCACGGTCTCTGTGTTTCTCGGCGTTGCTGGCATCTCCCTCTGGCAAGTCAGCCTCGGCATAGGCACGCAGCGGCTTTTTTGTGTGCTCTGCCCCCCTTCAGACAGAAATGGGCAACTACGTGCCACAAGAATCTTGATTCCCTAGACTCTCTGTGCGCATGGGGATGGAAAACGGCCTTCCCAAAAAGACTGTACCCGCCGCCAGGCCCTAAGCCATCCGGCCTAAGCCTGAGCAGGAACGGATTTCAAGCTCATTGATCTGACGCCGGACGGGAGCTACTTGAGCGATTACTACACGCAGGAGCGTCCCATGGGTGGTGCCCAAAGACTGCTGTGTCTGTGACAGCAGAGGCCCGAAGCTTGTACTCTAAATCGAACCCCAAACTCTAATCAGTCTGGATGCTGAATCCTAAATTCAGAAGTATTACAGTTCTACGAGGCGGCATACGGTGAAAGCAACTCTTCACATCTTTACGCTGGATTTGGGGCCTCTGGTTTAGGCAGTGCCGGCGAGCGGCCCTGACGTTTGGAAGCATTTGTAAAATACCCTGCAAGCACTGTGTCACTGTGTCACTCAGAAGACTCCCTCCTTCAGCCCTGCACGACAGCACCCTGCAAACTCTCAAGTGCATGATGGCTTTCTGCATCAGGAGGAGCGGTATTTCGGTGGGATCGCAATTGGGCTGGCCGTGCCAGCATCTTACTATGTCAAAGGCCTGCTGGGGTCGGAAGTTGAACAATGCCATGCCTTGCTGGGAGACTTGAATCTTTTCTTCACTGGCTTTTTTCTTCAACCATGGGTGTACACACAGTTTTTGTAGGTTGAAACGATGCAGTCATGCTTCAGTATGATCCTCTCCCTCCGACTGTACCACATCTGGCCGTGATTCCTGAATCAGGATCCCTTTGTTTGACTCTTGCCGAATCAAGTTTTTCAGTGAGATTTGTAGTATGGTCACGTCGGCTGATATATTACGGACGAATTCTACGCATGGTCCATTCTTCTTTCGATTTTAGCATAAACTGCAGATTGCTTGCACATTGCCTCCAAGGCTAGCTTCGAGTACACAACCCTGCGCGCGAAGGTGCTAAGATGTGACACGAACCCTTCACGGAATGACCGCACTGCGAAGCTGGGGGTACAGAAACTCCTGCGGCTGAGCTCCAGCACCCGACACGCCTGGCCCCAGTGAGCCCGACCCTTGGAATACTACTGCAATAATACTACAATATAACTCTCACAATATTACAAATATGCTGTAACATAGAAGGCCTACGACCAGAGTCGTCCTTTGTCTCAGGCCCTCTCACCTCCAGTATACGCCAGCTGCCCTGTCAGAGTCCAGCCGCTTCCGCAGTTCAGTGCAGGTCTCAACTTCAGCTCGCTAGAGGTCCAGCGGAATCTCGAGCTCATCGGCTCCTCGGGCTTGAACTTCATTGGGGGATGTCGGTGAAGGCATGGTGCCTGCTGGATGTTTGTAATGTGCCGCGTCAAGCGTGACTCTGCGAAATGAGGTGCAGAGATGCTGGCAATGCGCATGGTCAACGAAGATCGGGGCCTCAGAAGTTGGCACACCATCTTCAGCCTGTGGGCTTGGCAGAACCGTGGCAGCTTGCATGTCTTGCCGCTGACGGCCTTCGAAGAAGTGCCCGGTGGGGCGTCCCGGCCCGGGTGCCGAGCGGGCCTTCCACCAAATGTGAACGACTGTGTCACTCACTTCCTCACAGGGCCAACCTTTCAAGATGCCGTGTTAACCTTCCTCCAAGAGGAACAGTTCGGCGACTTCTACGGGGATCTGCACTTTTCTTACATATATGCCGATGGATCCCGTAGACCAGATGCCCGAGACTCTGCAGAGTACGGCTACACTGCCGGCGACGTTGTTGCTCCTTCATATGGCGGAGGCGGAGGCTCCTATGTCCTGGACATTGCAAGGCTGATGGTTCGACACGTGGATACCGCCAACAGCGTCGAGCAAGTCGAGGCCCTGCGGGAGGCCGAGGAGCTTGCCAGTCGATGGCAAAGTGCACTTCCAGGCAGCTTCATGAGCCCTGACTGTTAAATTAGAAGTTCCTGTCATGCCAGCGCCTTCGTTTGAAACTGTTCCAAATGCTCTCCGAGGAACTCTTTCTCGTATATCTTCTACGACCAGTTCCGCATCATTGTATCACAGATGACCACCAGCGTTGCACTTTGTCTGCTAGCTGTAACGATCATTAGCACTCTCGTCTTGGCACACCCTCTCTTGGTGATGTCCGTCGTGCTCGTTCTGGCTCTGGTGTTCGTAAACCTGCTGGGCAACATTATACTCTGGGACCTGGATCTGAATACGATCAGCATGATCAACCTTGTTATGGCTGTGGGTCTGGTGGTAGCAGCTCTGATGCAGAGAACCTTACTTTGCTTTCGAGTGTCCTTCGTGCAGCATGCTTAAGCCTAAGTCTACGCCTCAATCAGGCATGAAGCTGTTTGTGCCTGCATGGGTCATGAAATTCCGACATCGATAGGCCGACCTGTTACGGCGGGTGCTCCCTGCAGCCAGCAGTCACTCAACCGACTACTCCGAAAGGGTTCGGCAGCGTTATGCGCACGCTAGTCCCCAGCGATTGCGGATTCTGGCTATGTGTTGCAGTAATCCGCCAATGTGATCCCTGCTTCGAGGACTACAGCATGCATGTCGCCCACAATTTCAGCCTTCAAGACGACAAGCTTGACAGGGCCGAACGTGCGGCACGCGCCGTGGAAGAGATTGGAGCCTCGTCAAAGAAGAATCATCAACTGTTCGAGCGCACCGTGGCACATGCCTCTGACCAGAACCTGCATTCCTGCGGGTGGAGCTTTGTTCGGGAGTCGGGTGGGTGCAAAGGGTCTGTTGACAGTTTCGAAACTTTCCTTGTCTATGCTCTTGACTCATGACACTTCGGTGCGCTTGTTGAGTTTTCGCTCTTATCCGTGCGGCAGCATGTGCGTCGATCATGCGGTGCTGTGGAATCCATCGAAGCTGGCATGCCCTGTGTGTCCGTCTCTGAGACTCTGAGCTTGATGCAAACAGCCTCGGCACATTTGCAATCCTATACTAGCTGCTAGCCTACATATCATAGATGGAGACCTCCATCACGTGGACAGCTAGCAGATCTGCTGGGTCGCGCAACTTTCGGCAAGCACCCACCAGTGCATACCGAGGCCCAGCTATCTTTCTCGGCATTAGCACGACTTTCGTTGCCATGATCCCTTTGGCTTTCTCTTCAAGCCAAGCGTTTCGAGTCTTCTTCAAGATGTTCGTGGGCATCGTCGTGGCTGGTGGCAGCCATGGGCTGGTGTTCCTCCCAGTCTGTCTCTCGCTGGTGGGACCAGGTGGCACGGCAGAGCCCGAGATGAAAATCCAGCCGGAAAGTTCTGCCAAGAGCCTGGAAACGGAGCCGATTTCCAACGTAATCGGTGGAAACGAGAGCAATGCGCCCGGGACCACGTTGCCGGATGAGTATGAAGGTAGATCGATCCCGCTATGACCGCCATGATATGACGCGTTTTCAAGCATGCTGTAGGGACACCGCATGTGAGCTCCCTGTAAAGTTTCATCATTGCCGTGGCGCTGACGGTTTGTAGCTTGTTCTGCGTATACCATGCGCATAGGGGCATAGGTTGCTCTGGAGCTCGTCTTCGTGCATCCGCACGGTTCTATGATGGGACTGACTTCGCTCCCATGCAGGGTGTACAGGGCAAGCAGGGGTTGTGAAATCCCATGCTGCATTTGGGCTCTGTTTGCATCGACGGTGCGAGGGCAACTGCTACTGAGCCGAATCGAAGAGCCGAAGAGCATGTAGGCGTCACTGTTCAGCTTCCGCTTGTGCTTTCTATACCAGCATCTACGATCATCTACGAGCGCCGTTAGTTGATGCTGCAGTTAGTCGTCGCCTTTTCCACAAGCCCAGACGATGTGCATAGTCTACGCGCTCAAAGCGCATGCTCAAGTTCTTGGCCGTTATGCGGGTTACGCTGACCTCGGGGTGCTGAGCCTGGATCGCTGAAGTAGCGCGTGTGTGTGTGTGTTGCCTTTGTTTTGCGTTTTCAACAAACTGCCAGGATTTTGGCGATTCGGTCTGATACTGGTACCAGCCTTCTGTAAATCCAGCGCCAGGCATTCCGTGGGTGTGCCTAGGGCCTCTGAACAGAGCCTCGATGTTCTGAAGACAGGGTGAGCATGGGCCACATTGCAAGATGTGGCACCGCGTCCACCTACCTCATCTTTCAATCGCAAGCCGGTGGTGCACAGACCAGGTAGTCGTCTGCCATTGCCAATGCAGACTTTGGATACCAAGCCTGCGGCAGTCTCGGATGCTGCCTGCGTTTGTGTGCAGATTGCAATCCTTTTGCTTGGAAAAAAGTCTTCCGCATGCCACAGCCTCCCACAAAGTGGCCACAGTCTTTGTTCGCAGGCCTTTGACAAGACATACCTCCAGCTGGATGGTGACGAGCGGGACGACTTCACCTGGGCCGCCCTTGGGCGCTTGCGAGGGGGATGGCGGGTTTGAACTTCCAGCATCAGGATTGACTGCCAAGGCTTGCCCTCCAGCTAGGATGCCCAGGTGTGCCATGTGGCTGTGCGCTGAGCATGATGCAGGCATGCTTCATGCAGAGTCTGCTTGAGGTTTAGCGTCGCGACAACTTCTGTGCTGATGCCAGGTCCACACGAAAGGTTTACGTGTCTTGACAGCACTTGCGTGGCCAATGAATAAGTTCTGGTTGCAAAGATGGGGCCAGAGTGTGGAACAACAGAGCTTCACATGAGCCTTTTGCTGAACCTCGCACTCTCAAGTAGTTCATGCAGTCAGCACGTCGCTGGAAGCTGCTCAGGTTTTTCTCGTTTCGACATGCAGTATTTCCTACATGTCCTTCGAGGTGTCGCGTCTCGTTTCGTGCGGCTGTGACCACAAGTACGAGCGACCGAACTGTAAACCCACATATTGCATAGCATGTACTAGTACGTCACACAAGGTCGTGCGCATGTCGTTGTAAAGCCACAGTGTTAGAAGTTAGAAGGTGGCATGGTTACACATAAACAAAGGCAGGATCATAGATTGAAGAAAAACAGGGTAGTTACAAGGCAAGTACATTACGAAGGAGAGGATAAGCAGCATCGAGCAAAGGCAAAACAAAGGTAAAATAAATGCAGAACAAAGGCCATCAAAGGCTGCTGAAGAGCCAGGGTGGCGCGGGGCGGGGTGGGCTGGGTGGGGGCAGGGGAAGAGAAGGAGCAGCGCCTTTTTTGCGCCTTCTTTGAGTGTGCGCGACAGCTTTTTTGCCTTTACTGGGTCTAGCTTGTTTTTACGTTTTCTTTGCCTTCATTTTACCTCTTGTTTTTTTTGCCGTCCTTCTTTGCCATCCCAAAGCTGGATGAAAGTTGACAAAATAGGTGGAAAATTGCTGCCGAGACGCTGCTGGGGCATTCTGCAAAAATGATCCATGAGGCGAAGAGGTGAGAATGTGCGATTTACGCCGTTTGACTAGCTGGGTGCGCCTTTTCTTCCAAATGTTGTTATATCATGCTCTGCGGCATCCCACGTTCTAACCGATTCTAACCACAGTGCTTCTCTCTGACCGCAATACTATGTAGCCGCCGAGGCAATGTAGCTGATGCAGTGGCCGCAGTCATGGTCTCGAAGACTCCGGAACATGCCCCATCCTAACGAGCTAAGATGAGCTAAGTATGGTGGGGTCCCAGATAACTTGAAGGCGGTCGAGGCCTACAGCCAGCATCGCACTCGTGATGCCCAGGTTCCTTCAATGTCAAAGGTGTCCAGACGGGCCTGCCTGAGACTCAGGCTGCACGCAACAATGCTGGAGCAGCTGATTCACACAGACTGAGGGAGGCGTTGCTTTCAGTTTGGAAAGCCGCCTTAGATCAGGGAAAGGTATGGCCTCAGACACACGCTGAGGAGATACTCGTGCCTCGCCGTCCAGAAGAGCTTCTCAAGCTTGGAGGACCAGTTCGCTCTTGCGCTCAGTCACGAATTTGAGGAATCACGTGCTGTCTTGATGGAGCCGGATGACGACGCTCCTTAAAACGATGGAAGGTTTCCTTATTAAAGCTGGCACCCGTGCCAGGGATCGGCCTTGGAGGCGCACATGAAGGTCCTTTGCCGGATTTCGCATCCTCACCTCTGCAAGGCTTGGATCTCTGAGATTCTGAAGCTCTGCCTAAAACAAGCGCCGGGCAGGTCATCGAATGCTTCGAGGAGGACGAGGAGCGACTGGTGATCTGCTTGAGACCCAAGGAAAGGAGAGGGGTCTCTCCTACTAGGGCCATGTAATTCAAGACAGGATGGCCGGGACAAGGCTAGGAAGGCCCGGCCGCATGGGAGTTTAGTCCGTCATATCTATCCGTGCGGCATGGGTTCTCTTCTTTGCAAGAAACCCGCCGAGGTGAGAAGCCTTCGAAGGAGAGGCTCGTCACTGGTGAGACTGGCGAGTCGGATCCCGATTCGCGATAGCACACCGTTGCCAGCTGCTGAACATCTCCATCCGGCAAATCTATGTCACAAGTCAGAATGCAAGGAGCACGTGAGTTTACTTGAGTACTTGGGCTGAATGTCGTCATGGCGTCGACTCACGGAATTGCATCACGACTGGACCAAGTCAGTGTTGCTTTGCATCCTATGCGGGTTTGCCCTGACGGAGCTTCAAGCTTGGATCGCTGAGGCCTTGGGGTCTTGATGAGACGTCGGTGGCCGAGTCTGTGAGAAAGAAAGGCAAGACACGAGATGGCACTAGGTGACTAGGCCCATATGCCACAGAGGTTAATTTAGTGCAGGGGCTGTCGGCAGCAACATGTTGAGGACTGGTGCAGATTCGCGGAAGAGTGAACGCATTGTGCGGAGCTCAGACACGAGGACGCTTTGATAGGCCGACATCACCCGATAGAAGCAAAAGCAAAAATATGCCTAAGCATGTAAGCAGGCAAGCTTGTAGAAAGGACCAGATGAGGAGATTGCCAGGTCGGTTCCCTCTCTAACTCGCGTAGGTTGCGGAGATGATGCGACAGATTCTGTCTGCCCTTGCACATGGGCATGCGAGAGGACTGCATGACACCACTCGTATCTTCCGATGCCTTTTACTGGTCCCCTAGCCGTCGTGCCGCAGGTGTTGTGCAAGTTTTCAGCTTCGAGAGGATGCGTGCACGCGATGATTACACCGGACAAGATCCGGGTGATGCAGCCGCAGCAAGCCTAGTGCGACTGGATTGAGGGTTCAGGTCCATCCGTGATAACCGAAGGGAGTGCGTGACGGAGTTTTCCCGTCCAACTCAGTGGTACCGATGACTTGTATCCTGCCTGCGGGCAATCTGCAAGTAATCTGGCTTCGTGAACTGAGCAATTATATTATTGACGGTGTATAGGAAGGGAAGGGTTGTGTGAACGTTGACATTCTTTTGGCTATTGTGTGCGTGGACGCAACGGAACTCACAATGCCTGGCCTTCGCGCCGTTAGAGCGAGGTCGTCGAAAAGCCAATCTTCGAAGTGCCGTCCCTAAATGCTAGTCGAGGAGGCTCAATTGGGCTTCTCATAGCCCCAGTGCTTGTCCCTGCCAGAGTGGGTCCCCCCTCCCGTGCGGAAACCATTTTGCTCAGGATTCCCCAGCTCAAGGTCATTGGCTTCGGCCTCGCATATGCCAGCTGCCCGGCGGACACTGCCTGGTCCTTCCAAGTTGCTCTGGCAAAGAGTGTATCCGCTTGCAGCGAGGCCTTGCTGCCTCCACTGGGCATCTTCTTACAGAAAGACCTCGTGAAGAAGGACAGCATGTCGTGACTTCTAGTCGCACCGTGGGAGTCTCCGAGTCGAAGCGCTGCTTGGATTCAGAACCCGGTGTGTCCCTGGCGAGGATCGCGACGTCGCTGCGATGACAGGCAGCTCCCCAGCCAGCACCCTGTCTTTGAGCTGCTGCGGGTACGAGGCCTCCCCTACACTGCTATGGAATCCATGCTGGTGGCCGCCTGAGGCTTCGTAGCGCTTCTTTGAACAGCGGACTCCTTTCCAGTGGCTTCTCTGCATTCCCGCCGAGTCCAAAGAAGTCTACCTGAACAACATCCGAAGCCTCCATGACTCAGGACCCCCCTCCCGAAAAGCTCAGTTGATGGAGTTTGTCTGGCCTGTGACATTTTTCAAGCGAGGACCGGCCCACGAGTCTGAAGCTGCAGCACAGGCCCTTGAGCCGTCCTGCAAATCGCACGGGCCAATCGCAAGTTCCAGTACTCCGACTGGAAATGAAGCAACTGAGTCTTTGCGAGTCGTACTCGGAGTAGGCCGTGCCTTGTCTACTCAGTCACGCTCTTGTCCTCCGCTTCGGATGGAGGCCTCTCCTCGCATCTCGGTGCTGGACGAGTCTGGGCCGGCGGCCCAATGCCAGCAGTGCGTCAAGACAGCGATCGGAACTCCTGTTGGTTGCCGCGTCCAGGGCACGAACTTCCAGCAATTCCGCACCCCGCTCCACAGATCTGCACCTGCGCCTTGTCACGAGTTGTTGAGCCGTTCGGTGACACATGGAAGCCCTTTGCAGAATCAGCGCAACGATCACGGCAAAGGCCAAGCTTACATAACTTACATAAGGCGACTTTAGGTATCCCCATTGGTTTTGAATCACGTCTGAGCATGAGCAGTTCTCTGGGAGTGGCTCCCTGAGTCACTCAGACGTATGGAGTCTCAGCACACTCAAGGATCGATGGGCAGCTCATGGGACGCCATCCTCCAGGTGCTGATAAGGCCCACGTGCTCGTGGATCACCACCACCTCAGTGTCGACGCAAGAATTGCTAGTAGATAGGCACTTCGGGTGTGTGAGAGAGGCATTCATGTGCTCCTCCGGTGATAGGCCGACGTCTGGGCAGTCGGGGCATTGGCCTACCGACTGCTGACCGGAGCAGAGTCCCAAGAGGTATTTTCTCAAGGCAAGTCCCAAAGCCCTAAAGCCGTGCCAGCAAACGGCGTGGCGTCATCTAAATCCTGGGGTCCTCGCCCTGTTTTGGGCGTCTCAGGTCGCTCCGTTCCTGCCGAACCTGAGCACCAAGCGAAGGGAGAAGAAAGAGGAGGGGAAGTTCAGTGCCGTCTTTAGGGTCTAGGGCTGGAGGGGCTTTTGGGGTGGCAGGGTTTCGTGGGACCCTTCAACTAAGGCTACCAGTTCGAGCCGAATGAGGGCCTGCCCTGGTCAGGATCTCCTGAACTTCATGCAGGAGGAGCCCATCAAGTTTCTCAAGTCGGCTTGGCCCTTAACTCGTAGTCTGCTTGTTTTTGCCAGATCCTGGCATCTTCGCATGTCTTCCGAGCTATGGTGTCAGGACTGGGCGAACCGCTCCTCAAAGTGCCTGGATGCCACGGCCTCAGATGAGTGTTACGTGATGTTACGTGCATGTGAGATAAACGCTTGGCAAAGCAACCTGCAGAACCCGGCTGCGCTGGCTGCTGCAGCATGAGAATCCCTGGACGGAGGCTGTTCGATGCATGTTGCGCGTGACACCCTCGCTGCGTCCCAGCGCTGCTGCAGGGGACTTAGTTTCAGGCTGCAAGGAGGGCCTCATAAATACCTTGCCCATAAGGAAGACCCAGTAGGCTATGCTAGATTGCAGGGTTTGCTTCAGAAAGAGGGTGTTTTGCAGCATGGTGTGTTCGATGCATTGACACTGGTGTCGGTATGCACTACCAAGCAGCTTGGTTGTCTTCGCCCACCGCCCGGGTCGAGCCCGCGAAGCTTCACCAGTCTTCTTTTTCAGAAGCCCCTTTTCCTAAGGATCTTCTTCGTCACCCTTGGTTGAAGCTCGGCCGCGAGCCGGTGCCGTATGTTCGGGCGGCGGCCTTGGTGGATCCAGGGGGTTCCCTTGTGTCTGTGAGTTGAGTCCGCGTTCGTTTGCGCAAGTCGTTTCATGGCCTTTGGTAATTTGCCACAGGTTCATCGGCTGTTCGCGAACGGGTTGAACTACCTGAAGGACCGACAGTCTGCAGATCGGCTTTCGATTTCAGTGCTTGTCCCACGTGGGGCCAAAGATTTGAACAAGCTTGCAACATCCCCTTATCCAGGAGACTCAGTTCAAGAAGTTGGTCATCCGCGTCATTGCCGAGCAGATGCCAGAAACCGGGCCCCACATGCAGCAGGTGCTGGTGTTGGGCGGTGGTGGGGCAGTGATGATCGACTGATATTTGAGCACTTCGCCTGTCACCCGCTTCCTTTCAGTGACTCCAGTTCTGTGTGCTTTCTGGTACGGTGGTGGCGGCCCCTTTGCTTCAGTCTTATCACCCAAAACCCTAAACCCCAAACCCTTAACACTTTTTGGGTAGTTCTCCAAATTTCAAATTAGGGCCCATTCTAGGTTCCAATATATAGTACGAAACCCTTATGTAAAAGGACCCTACAAGGGACCCTAGTTAGAGAGCTACGCATATGCCTGTTCTGCAGCAAGATGGCGACCCTTAGAAGGCTGGGATCTCGGCACAGTTGGAAACCGATCATCGAAGGAAGCCTGCCGAGAGCGGAAGTAGTCATGCCTACTTGAAGACCCCGCTCTACATTAACCTAATAATACTATAATACTTTAGCAATAGAATATCATGACACTGTGAACCGTAAACCCCTAATACGACCATACTACAGTACTATAAGACTGAGAAGGTATAATAACAGAACAAGACATTGTCTAATAACACAATAATATACTATTAGAATATCTAGAGCCAGAGATCCGTGACATGATCTGCAGGCTCAAAGCGTCTTTCGAGCTCTGGACAGAGACCGCGACTGCTTGTTGAGCCCGGCAGAGTTTCTCGAGGCCTGCCCGATCTGGATTTGTTTCTGCAGCGACCGAAATCTGTCCTCCGTCCCTTTAAGGATCTGTTAGGATAGGATCATTCAGCACACGAGCCGTCTCCTTTGCCTGGCATGGGCGTGGAACCGTGCCGTGACAGGGGCTACGCCTCTTCCCAGACTTGATGGAACGCCTTGGTGAGGCAAGGCGGAGATGAGTGTAAGTGTGTGTGTGTGTGGCGTGACAAGAAGCTTGTGGCCGAAGCATGTACCAGAGCAACTCAATCATGTGTTAGTGGGATGAATTATCTTGAACTATCATGAGCTATCTGCTCTTCCTTTCCTGACTTCGAAACTTCGATGCCGACGCCTGAAGCCGTGCGCGAAAACAGAGCTCTCAGGATCCAGAGAAGCTTTTCGAGGCCGCTGACCGCGATGGCTCGGGGCCGCCTCCCCAGACCATGCTGTACTATATATAATATGTATGTATGTATATGTATATATATACACAGTGTGTGTGTATATATATATATATGCTACCCCCCCTCATGTACCTACCTTTTTGTGTTCTTTAAATGCATTTTCCGTTTCAACCCCTTGCGAAGGCGTTAAAAC